TTTTTACAAATACTTTCATGGTAATTGCTCCGATGAGCTGCTTTCACTGGTTCCCAGACTCCATGAATTCAAGCGCCCTACGAGGCTGGCATCCCGCTCCCACCCTTTCACTGTAGAAACTTTTAAATGTAGCCGTCTCTTCAACTCCAATAGATTCATATCTCGCACCTCTCGCCTGTGGAACACCCTTCCCAATTACTGTTTCCCTGAGAGCTATAATCTCCAACTATTCAAATGTAATGTCAATCGACATCTCCAGTTACCTTGATCTATCCACTATCCTTCTCCTCATCCTTTCTTCTATCACTCCTATCTGCTCTCGCTCCAAATATTCTGCAACCCCCTGCATCCTAGTGGCTTCACGCCTTGCTCGGGGCGTAATGCTTAAAAAAAAATTTCTTCACAAATGCAGAACAGTTTGATAGTCTGATTCGTTTTTACGGGTTATCAAAATTTGCAGGTTATTTATTTATTTTTTTTTTTTTTATGTTGTTTATTTTTTTGTTTTTAATTATATAGTAATATCAAGTTTTCTTTAGGCATTGACCCATAGCTGGGGGTGCAGATATGGATTGATACTCTTTTCCCAAGGGCACTACGTGTAAGTGAATCCAACGAAATGAATGGGAATTGGAACCTACCACTTCCAAGCTGACAGCACATGCTAGTCCCAAACGGTCACCCATCTAAGTAGTGAGCGAACTTGACTTTGCTTAACTTTGGTGAGGGTACGGTGTTTTTCAACGTGATGTGTTTGTCAGAAGAGACTGAATGTAACAGAAATGTAGTTTCGACACTAGGATGCAAATAACTACCAATTACAGAATATATGGACACATAAGACCCTTTAAAGAAAGGCGGTTATAGTGTGTGTCTTTCCTTTTTTTTTAAGCATTTCATCCCAAGCAAGGCAGGATTGCTTAATCGCGGCCATTACAGAGCGTTTTGTGGACTTGAGGAAAGGATAAACAATGAACAGGGTTCAAGTCAGTAGAAGATGGCAGTTGACGCTGCACTTAAATGTTCGAAGATCGTAGTTATCAGGGAAGCAACTAAAAGGAAAAAGAGTTCCACGGGCGAAAAATGCGAGGAAATAAACTGTTGGAGCAGAAGTGGCCGTTACATTTAACTATTTCAACAGAAAAAATGTGAGACCTAGATGCCAATCTAGTAACCCCAAAAACTAGTCATTCGGGGCATCAAGTTACTAGTCGATTTTCAAGTTACCGGGGCATTTTCAACTAAAATTACTCAAGCACTCAGCCGGGGCATCAATCTGCAAATTTTCAAGTCAAAGTCATTTCTCAAGCACTTAAATTCTCAGGGCATCAAGTTCTATAAATTCGGCGCCTCAAGGATTAATTGTCGGCGCCTCAAAAAAGTCTTCATCAAGCACTAACAAGGCGCCTCTAGCAATAGTCGGGGCATCAAGCAAATTGTCGGCGCCTCAAGGTAAAAAAAAAACAATAAAATAAGCAATTGCCATCTGTTTATTTTTAAAAAAGACAGAGGGATAATTAATCTCCATTTTATCAACATGAAGACTAGATGCCAGGTCAGGATCATTTACCCTTCTTTCCCCAATTGTCGGTTAGCATCATAAAAAAACAGTTTAATAATTTCTATGGAACATAATGAGGAAATATTGGGAGACCTTGATTCTCAAAATAGTATAAGATAAGGCAAGAATTTATTTAAAATAGTTGGTTATTTCTTCCTAACGAGTTTGTATAAAAGGATGACAGACCAAGGACTAGGAGAGATATTTGTAAATTCAAATACTTTTAGAAAATTTTTGATGGTAATTTTGATTAAATACATATTTACTAAGTTTTAAAATTATCCTCTTTGTATTGTTTTTTTCTTCTTTCCTTGTCTTTTCTATCTCTCTCCGTTCGTCGCCCTATTTCTTTCTCTTGCTCTTTCTTTCTTTCTTTCTTTCTTCATCTCTCTTTATCTCTGACGTTCTCACCCTCTCCTTTATTTTTCTTTTCTTTCTTCCTCTCGGCTCATATGTCATATTTTTTCTTTCTTTATTCAACGATCAGTATTTTATTATGTGAGTGTAAAAACTTAGGCGCTACTTTTTGATAACATGCACATTTAATATAATTTTTATTATTATTATTATTATTATTATTGTCCTCATCATCATCATCATCATTATTATTATTATTATTATTATTATTATTATTATTATTACGGTCAACATTACTATTATTATAATTATCATTATTATTGTCATTATTATTATTATCATTATTAATTTTCATTATTATGATTATCATTATTATTATTATTGTCAACATTATTATTATTATTATTATTATTATTATCATTATCATTATTAATTTTCATTATTATTATTATTATTATTATTTGAGAGTGGAGTTCGCACTCCATTATCACATTCACTTAACTTTTGGAAAGATATGTATCCATCTCTTTTCCCCACTACCAGTTATGGTTTGAATAGCAAGACATTTTGGGTTCTATAGCCTTGGTTGTCTACCAGTCTATAGCTGAAACAAATGGCATCCTACTGCGGCGAAAATCTTCTGTCTTGTCAGTCTTGAACAGAAAATCTTTCGAAAAAGCGTGTATCACTGTATGATAAATAAAGTAACTTTATTAAATAATACAGTATTTGTTATCAGGTAACAGCACGAATTACTTCATAGTCGCCTTATCGATGACGAAACAGCTTTTGTGGTGGTGAAAGTGGGAGGACATCCAACAGGATTAAAAACAAGATCTGTCCAAAGGTTTTAACCTTCTTTTTCCTTTCAAAACCACCTATGTTAGATTTATTGCTTGCAAAGCTTTTTTTAAAAAAATTTTTTTTCCAAAAAAAATTTCATTTCGCCGGTCAAATTTCCTAGACCGAAGTTCCAAATTAGGAAATGGAAATTCTCCGATATAATCAAATTGACCAGTTCGAGCACTCATGTTGATCTGAGCTGGAGACGGATGGACTACGCCAGGTTTACTTGCCCAAGAGACGCTACGCATGAATGAATAGCTTTCCAGCTATAAGACATAATTAATAAAATATTTTTTACTGGTCAAAATGCTCAGCTACGCTGCTACCAAAAAAATTGTTCCCAGTGATAGGAATGATGATGATGTAACGGCAAACTTTCAAAATCGTGTAAAAATTGTCCAATTATTAGATTAAGCCGTGAACCGTTATAACTTAACTTATAACAATAAGAATGTATAATTACTCTCCAAGCTTAACAGAAGAATCGTGATGAAATCGATCATAAACGAAAATGACATGTTTATCATTAATTAATCAGAGCTAAGGATCAGAATTTTTATCTCAGATTGAAATAAAATTCATATATATATATATATATATATATATATATATATATATATATATATAATTGATATTAAGTCAACATTAAAAGTCGACAGTCTGTTTCAATTTATATGCAATCGTCATGGAATTGCATCTAGCATGAAACAGACTGTCTTTATTAATTTGATTTCTATATTCACTTAAAATATTTTATACAATCGCTCTATCTCTGATATTGATTTCTTTATCCCATAAATATTTTTCATCTTAAGACTATATTTCTTCATATATATATATATATATATATATATATTTTTTCAGAATCATGTTCCAACTTATTTTCAAGATGTTTTTCGCCCTCTCTAACCTTCTAAATTCCTGTCGTGGAGTAACAAGCTGCATCACACGTTTCACGTACCATTTCATTTTCAAGTATTTTTTTCACTGCTTTTTGGACTGTCATAGGTGAAACTCCTCTTCCTCGTAACAAACGTGTTATAGATTGAGTTGGATCTTTTCTAACTGATCTCTTTAGCTGTAATTTAAATTGATGATCCCTCTTCCTGTTGTGACCTCCTGATCCAGTTTTTCCTCTCTACTTTTTAAAATTATTTACCGTTCTCTTGATGGTTCTTTGAAGGCGGAAGCCAGAGTATAATTGTTGGTACCATTACTGAAGACCTGAATGATTTTTTCTTCTTACAATTGCTCAGTTGAGAAGACATGGCGGGGCTGACACTAAACGAATTTAACCTATTATCTTTCTAGCTCAATAACTGGAAGGGTTTTTCAGTGATTCTTAATACAAGCGGTGTCAGGATGGCTAAATGTCTTATCTGAAAATTTGATAAAATGAAACTCAATGAGTTTAGTGTTTTTTGGGATATTAAACGTTTTGTGGGATGGACATGTTACACAATTTGGACAGTTTTGCTGTTACAACTAGTTTATGAGATGAAGTCAAAATGTTCGCCATAGATTTATTTAAGAGTGCGGATAATTTTTCATTTTCTCTTGTATTCGAAACTTACCTTTTCCGTTTAACACGCTTTCTTTCTTTTTCTTTTAGATTCTTTATTTTCGGTTGCTACTCTTTCTGTTAGTTCCTTTCTCTATTTTCCTTCAACCTTTTCATATTGTCCTTTTCTTTTTTTTTTCTTTCTTCATTTTTTATTCATTTCCTCTTTCTTTCTTTCTTTCTTTCTTTCTTTCTTTCACTTCGATTCCGTGTTTTTAATTCTTGCATTCTTCTCATCTTTCCATTATTTTCCTTACCCTCCTTCTATTTTTTTGTTTTTAATTGTTTCCTTCTTTAATTCATTGTTACCTCTTTTCAAATTTATTTTTATGACGTGTCTTTTTCTTTCTTTTTTTGCTTACTTTTTCTCGTTGTTTATTTTCTTCTCTTCCTTTTCCTTTCATTTCTTTTTTCCCGCCTTTCACTTTTCTATATTTCTTTTCCACCCAGCATTCTTCTCGTATCATTCTTTCATTATTCATTCATGCTTTCTCTTTCATTTTCTTTCACATATTTCTAATACCTATCACTCATTCCCTTTCGAAATCTTAGTGCCTTTCTTTCATTCTTTGCCGTATTTATATATATCTATGTTTTTTTTATCTCTACCCTTCACTGATTTATTTCCCCATGTAGCATCTTCATAATTCTTATTTAATAAAAAAAAGAAAAAAATCACGCTTTGGCTTCACTGCTGAAGCATCGTTTTATCACGTCGAACTCCGGTCCCCACGTACATTCATTACTTCTAGGGAGCCTCCCAGAACGCAAGTCCACAACACAACCGGCGTCCCCAAATGTGCACTCATTTTATGACTTATGACTTGCTCAATTAAATCCCGTGCTCGTGATTTGGCACCGAACTTGTTTTGTTGTCGTCATTATTTCTACTTTCATTTTCACTTTCTTCGCTACTTTCGCTTTCGTTTTCCAAATTTATATAACTGTTCACTTTCCATATTTACTTTAACTTTTTAAAATCTCATCCTTTTGGTCGTCAATGGGGGACGATGCTTCTTTCCAAAAATTACTTTAACTAAATTCGCGAATACTTCTCTCTAACTTCTGGTGATCACTATTTTTCTTGTTTTATTTATACTTGATCCAAGAGGGATTAGATTTAAAGAACATGTTCATACCACGTGTTGAGTCTACTCGGTGAAGAGAAAGCACTCAACAGATAGATAGATAGATAGATAGATAGATAGATAGATAGATAGATATGTAAACTAAAATAGATAATATACACACTGAGATAGATACTACTACCATTAATAATAACAATATACAAACTGAGACAGATATATATATATATATATATATATATATATATATATATATATATATATATATAAATAGTTTAGGTTCGTAGACTTCTATATTACCCAAGAAAACGACTGAAAACTTGGATTTTTTCAGAGACTATTAAGCTCCTATCGGAACTATTCGGGCCTAACACAACCTTGTTCCACAAACGTTGGAAATGCCTGAACACAGTCAAAGACAACCAGCAAGATTTTCTAACGTTTGCAGCATCGGTAAACAAGCTCTGTAATGATTTTAAACTAGCCGAACTGACTGCCGATGATTTCAAGTGCTTGATTTTCGCACAAGGTCTAGTATCAGCAGAAGACGCCGAAGTCAGACGACGGGTACTGACCAAGCTTGAGAACGAACAAGGATTGACTCTCCAAAAACTGGCAGAGGACTGTCAAAGAGTAATATCTGTAAAGTGTGACTCAAACACTATCGAGGAATCAAGGGTGGCTCAGATTAATAAAATCAGAAGCAAGTCTACCTCCTATTCCCCTCAAAAAAACAAAAGGCAAATCTCATGTCCTAAATTACGCAGTAACCAAATCCCAAATAGGTTAACGAAACCGCCCGGACCATGTTACCATTGTGGTAAATGGCATTGGATGAAATTCTGTCCAGTTAAGAACAAAAAATATTGCAAAAATTGCAATAAAAGTGGGCATACTTTGACTTCGTGCAGGTACGCCAACAGAACGAGAAAACCCAAAAATAAAATTAAGCAAGCTCAATCTGACAATATTGTCGATAGGAATTTAAGGAAATATGTAACTGTGGATATTTTCAATAAGTCCATTAAATTCCAGCTAGACTCGGGTTCCGATCTTTCAACAATTAACTGGCGTACTTGGCGAAAATTAAACAAGTCGACCTTATTAAAAACGGATAAAACAGCAAAAAACCGTAACTGGCGAAAAGATTAACATTTTAGGCGAGGTAATACTTACAGTAACACTAAATGGAGTTACCAAAAAGCTCAAAGCCTACGTATTGAAAAAACTTCAGATAACTTATTTGGAACAGATTGGATAGAAAAATTCAATCTTTGGGATTGCCCAATGAGTACATTTTGTCGCAAGATACAAAGTACAACGTCCAATTTGGTAAATCTAAAAAGAACTCAAACAACAATTTCCCCAGGTTTTTTCTGGCGGCCTTGGGAAATGTACTAAATGAAAGCTAAGTTCAAGGTGAAGGACGGTGCACAACCGGTATTCAAAAAGAAACGGAATGTCCCTTTCGCTGCTCTAGAGCAAATCAACAAAGAGTTAGATAGACTCGAACAAGCAGGTATTCTGTCAAAAAACAGATTTCAGCGAGTGGGCAGCACCTACGGTCTACGTAAAAAAAGTCCAATCAAATACGAGTATGCGCAGATTTTTCCACAGGGTTAAACGATGCCTTGCAAGATCACCACTATCCTCTCCCAAGCCCTGAAGAAATTTTCAATAAACTCAATGGTGGAAAATTTTTTTAAAATTGACCTCTCGGACATATACCTTCAGATAGAGGTGGAAGAAGAAAGTTCCAAATTGCTCTGCATAAACACCCATAGAGGGTTGTACAAATACAGTAGACTGGCTTTTACTGTAAAGGTTGAGCCTGCAATTTTCCAGCAGGTCATGGACGCCATGCTGGTCGATCTTGACTACGCAACGGCCTATTTGGATGATATACTGGTTACCAGTAAAACTATGCCAGAGCACCGGAACCATATAATAAACGTATTCGAAAAGATACAAGAATACGGATTTAAGGTTAAGGAGGAAAAGTGCGACTTTTTCTTACCAGAGATTAAATACTTAGGGCACGTCATAAATAAAGACGGTCGTCGGCCGGATCCAGAAAGAGCCAACGCGATCAAAAACATGCCGGCCCCAGATAACGTTCAAGCGTTACAAAGCTTCCTCGGCCTAGCTAACTTTTACCAAGGGTTCATTAAAAACATGCAAAATTTGAGAGGGCCTCTCAACCAAGTCTTAAAAAAGGACAAACCATGGTCATGGACTCCGGAATGCCAAGACGCATTCGAGAAGATCAAGAAAACTCTTACTTCAGACCTCTCCCTCACCCATTTCGACCCTAGTCTCGACATCATAGTCGCAAGTGATGCAAGCTCCTACGGCATGGGTGCTTGCATTTTACATAAACTGCCAGATGGTTCGCGAAAAGCTGTGGCTCACGCATCAAGATCTCTACTTCCAGCTGAGAAACAATATTCCCAAATAGAGAAAGAGGCTCTAGGGTTAATATTCTCAATGTGACAAAGTTTCACAGATATCTACATGGTAGACAGTTCATACTGCAGACGGACCATAAACCTCTAATTACAATTTTGGTTCTAAAAAGGTCTGCCAGTCTATACTGCAAATAGACTACTTCGTTGGGGAATAATTCTTTTAAACTATAATTTCAAGATAGAGTTCCTAACATCCAAAAATATATTTGCCATGCAGACAGTTTATCGCGACTCATTCCCTAAAATACAGAAGTCTTTGAAGACTCCATCATTGCTTTTCTCTAAGGACAAATTGTGAAATCAAAAACATGATCGCGAGTACCATAAGAGATCTCCCAGTTACTTTGGCCGACATAAAAAATAAAGTCTCGAGGATGAATTCATTCAATCCATAAAAAGCCAAATTCGCAACAAAGACCCCAATGTGCCTGAAAAATTCTCCCTCTGCGATGATGTCCTACTATATAATGACCGCGTAGTGATTCCAAACAATTAGCCTACAAAGAAAAATCCTCAGGGATTTTCATACATGGGACATCCTTAGAAGAACCGTACGAAAAGCCTCATGCGCTGCTATGTTTATTGGCCAAACATGGACAATGACATAGCAGACATGATAAAAATCATGCAAAAAATGCGCGCTTGCAACAAAAGCTCCAAACACGACGTGCAAACCATGGCCAAAACAAAGACCATCCATGGCAAAGAATTCATGTCGATTTTGCAAGGCCTATAGACAACATGTACTATCTCATTGTTGTGGATAGCCACTCAAAAACTGCCTGAGGTCCTACAATGCAAAAGACCAACCAATAAAAAACTGCAAAATCGGATTTCTACACGAGCTATTCGCGCGTTTTGGCGTGGTAGATTGTGTTTCTTACAGATAATGGCACTCAATTCAATCAACGTGAATTTAGAGACTTCTGAAAACGATATCAGGTGGACCACATTAAAACGCCTCAGTACCACCCCTAGGTCGAATGGCCAGGCCCTAAAGTTCGTGGACACTTTAAAAAAAACTTTAAAAAAAGCACTAGAAACACCGACAGATAGAGCATTGCAACAATTTCTGCAGGTGTATCGGATAATCCCTAATCCGAACACGCCTATGGGAAAACACTCGCCTGCAGAAACAATGTTCGCAAGGAAAATCAAAAACTGTCTTCGACAAACTTATTCCACGGCAAGCAAAGTTAAAAAAAAAACCGTATCGCCTCATAAAAATATTTCAATCCTGGCGATAAAATCTTTTCAAGGCTTACAAAAACAACAAAACATTCTGGGAAGTAGGCACCATAAAACAAAGAATTGGCGAACTGGTCTATATTGTCCAAGGACCAAAAAATTCTCACAAACGCCATTGGAACCAGCTCAGAAAATGCCGTTTGAAGGAATCCAGGAATCACTACAAAATAACTGTGAAGAGCCGATCGACGTAATTTTCGATCAATTCGATCTCGACATGCCCCAAGTCTCTCCTGAAATGCGATACCAGGAAGGAAAAGGAAATTTACAACCGCTCGACAAAATCCAAAGAGGAAAAGTATTAACAGTTTTATTTTTTTTCTCTTTTTTTCAAAAAAAAAACTCTTGGAAGGGGGGAATTGTGAGACCGGAAACTACCTACACAATAAACTCTTCCAGGTCTATATTAAAATATGCGACACAAAATCACTCTAGAGAGTGACAGAAAAACAGTGAGAGCCTCGTACGACTACCAGTATTGGACACTAACATATAGTAAGCTCCGCTTACACTATCTCTGTAACCTGTTGTTAATATATCTTTCTTACATCTAATCCGTGTTCCGTGTTTTTCCTTCTGTGGTCCCAAATTTGGCCCCACATCAAATAAATAATGCATTGAAAGTTTTTTGATTGATTTTTTAAATCTTGGAAAAAATAATTATCTAAAAAATTTATTTAAACAAATAATATCAAAATATTAAAAATGACAAACGTGATTTTGAAGATATTGTCATTTCTTAAAAACATGAAAAATATGTAGAAAAATTTTGAATAGAATCTAGAAAAAACAAAAAATTCTAACAATTTTAAATTGTAAAACATTAAATAAACGATGCTTAAGCATACACTTATCCAATTATATATTTTATTTGTGAATATTTTGTCAAAAACAATACACCTTCTTCAACCCTAAGGTTTTAAAAAAAACTTTTACATTCTCTTGACAAAGGATTTTTTTTATAAAAATATGATTTAAAAAATACAATCTGGAGAAAATTTCAGTTTTAAAAATTCTTCTATTGCAAAAAAAACATTCATTGATTTAAAAATTTAATTTTTATACATATTTTTTTTAGAATATATTTTATTTATATTATATATATAAATGAAACCAAATTAACATGGTTTCAATACGGACATTCAACAAAAATAAACTGTTGTTATTTTTAATATTAGAAATATATATATATTGATTTATAATATCTACAGCAGTAGTCGGATTGAGTGATTATCATTGGAAAAATGTTTAATATCTAAAAAAAGTGAATTGATATTTTTTTCCTAAGATAAGAATAACAATTGTTGTATTTAAGATAGAAAATTCTGATTCAAAATTATAGATTAAAAGTAGATAGATAATATAGATTTGAATAATGCGAATTAAAATTATTATGGATAGATGTCTGGATAATTCTTAAAATAGATGATTTAAAGATTGATAGGTCCATGTGATGATATTGATAGAACGAATTTAGATGATTGGTTAACGATAAAATTGCAACATTACGTCAATAGATATTTAATGAAACAAAACATGTATGTAATAGATAAATAGATAGATAGATGGATAAATAGAAAAAAAAAAAATCCAGATTCTGAAAAAGACGGATTGGATAGATAGATAATTTTGTGATTAAATATGATAAAAAGATAATAGATAGATAGATAGATGGTTTTATGCCAATGCCCATATTCTTAAAATGCAATTTCAAAAAACATCACAGACATTTTCTACATAGATAATAATAAACTGATATAATGGAGAGATTTTTATATATATATTTTTCGATATTCATATATGATTAATATTTAATGTCCCAATGTATAATTATTTTAAACAATATTTTCGTATATATATATATATGATTCTTATATATATATATATTATATAAACTTGGTAACGAGCGTATTATTTGAACCTCATGGCTCCATAAAATATTATTGGTTTCGTTTATTCATAAGTTAAGAATTTTTTTGGAATGGCATTAGTCCCCCTCGTCCCCCCCATACCTCCTTTATTCAACCAGTTCGTGGTCTTTGACCTTAAATACCCCTAAAGGTTGAATGCTGAAATGCAACATCTTAAAAAAAAATTTAAGATAACTAATTCAACGCTAATAAAATTACCATTTAAATGCATGTTTACCAGACTTCCCTAATATATAAGAACTAGGCCCTATAAAAATATATATATATATAACAACCCCGAAATTGGTATTGGACATTCCACAACCAATTTAGATAAAACAAAAAAAAAATGGAAATGGCATTTAAGCCATTGTTCAATGAAGAAATGCATTTTTCATGATTTATCTATGACTTCCTTCCATCTATATAAATATATATTCCAATTACTGCCTCAATATATATCCTGTTTTATATATAAGAACTGGAAGTCCTCATATATTGTTAACATGTCTTTAAGAACTCTGGATTCCCTTTGTCAAAATGAATTACCGTCCAATTAGTCTCGCTTCAAATCACCAGTCAAAGTCTTCTTTTGACCCTAATCAATGCCGAAGTGGTTAATAAACCTGGTTTATCCCTATGATCTGCTCTCAGACAATCAATATGGTTTCCGCTACGCCCGATCTACTGCTGATGTGATCTTCGTCCATCACTCAACCCTCTACCAAGCCCTTCAAATATAACAGGTAGAGGCTCGTTTTCAAAAATTAGACATCTCTCAAAGCGTTTGATTTATATTTGGCATTATAGTTGCATTATTCGTAAGTATGAATTCAAGGTTAAATTATATATATATATAGATTGAAAGAAGATCTAATACAATCATTCCTGTCAAACCGAGAATTGAAGGTCGTTCAACGGATTCTCCTCCAGTTCCTATCCCACGAACGCAGGTGTTCCCCAAAGCTCCATCATTGGCCCCACTCTTTTCCTTATTTTCATCAATGACCTTTCTGATGCCATAGATTCCCAAGTTGGCATCTACGCAGACGACAAATTCAATTTACTCCTGCCTCAAAAACAAATCTAGTGTCGGCGACAAAACTAACCTGGAACCATGCGTCTTGAAATGGACCTCCAATCGGTTGTTAATTGGGGCAAGAATTGGCTGGTCAACTTTAACGCCTCAAAAACTAAACTACTCTCCATTAACCACCATAGAAGATCCTTCCCTTCCCCCCATTATTGTGTCTGATAGTTCAAATAAAAGAAAGAGAGCAACTCCCTGCGTCTGCTCGGTCTCACGTTGACTGCTGACCTGAGATGGAACAAATACATTGAGTCAATTGCTTCTTCCACCGCGAGGAAATTAAAATTTGGCTCTCTGTGCCGCGCCAGGAAATTTTCTCCCCTGAATCGATACTTCAAATATACAAAACAACCATTCGCCCTTGCATGGAGTATTGCTGCCATATATGGTCTGGGGCACCTTCTGTTTACCTCGGAGTTCTTGACAAGATCCAGAGACGGATATGTAATATAATTGGCCCTGATCTGGCGTCTCGTCTACAGTCACTCTCTCACAGACGCGCCGTCGCCTCTCTCTGTCTTTTTTTTCTACAAATACTTTCATGGTAATTGCTCCGATGAGCTGCTTTCACTGGTTCCCAGACTCCATGAATTCAAGCGCCCTACGAGGCTGGCATCCCGCTCCCACCCTTTCACACTGTAGAAACTTTTAAATGTAGCCGTCTCTTCTACTCCAATAGCTTCATACCTCGCACCTCTCGCCTGTGGAACACCCTTCCCAATTACTGTTTCCCTGAAAGCTATAATCTCCAACTATTCAAATGTAATGTCAATCGACATCTCCAGTTACCTTGATCTACCCACTATCCTTCTCCTCATCCTTTTCTTCTATCACTCCTATCTGCTCTCCTCCAAATCTTCTGCAACCCCTGCATCCTAGTGGCTTCACGCCTTTGGTTCATCCTGTTAAAAAAAAAATAAAAAAAGGGCGTATCTGAAAATATCCGATTTTAAAATATTTCGCTCCGTATTTTAATTTATGAAAGGTTAATATATATTAAATATCATCAATTTTAGTGAAAATTTTTTTATCATTTTTTTGTTTTTTTTTCCTCAAATTTATTAATGGGTCTAAAATTTCTCTCTCTCTCTCTCTCTGTTTTTATATATATATATATATATATATATATATATATATATATATAAAGAATAGTAGACGATAAAATTCACTGCTGTTAGCTGTATTATAAAATGCACCGTTGAATTTTGTATGGAAATGTTCACTTTTATTTATTTTTGTTCTACTCTGTTATAATGCTACCACCTTAAAGGGCAATTCAAAATTTGAACCTGGGAAGTAGTTTTTTAAGAAAAATCTTCTTCAACTCTCAAAACCTCCAATCTCCCAATCAAATTTCCATGCTGCCTATAATGTAGTATATCGTCACGCTCCTTAAACTACAATAGTTTTTAATTAACAGATCATTTATTTTAGTAGAGGAACATAAAATAAATCTTGAGAATTGCTTACATTTTAAACGAAAGCGCTCTTATCCAAAAAACGTTTAAACAATTTTTACATTGATCGAGCACAAAAATGAAGACCCATCTACGTGTACAAAAAAAACATTTGAAGCAAAACTAACAAAAGTTACGCTATCAATCTTGTCACACAAACCATGATTTATGTATTAAACATGACACTTAAACATTTTTATTAATGTGATTATTAACATGATTAATATTATTTAAACATGATTATTAAATATGTATTAAACATATTATTAAACATGTATAAAACATGATTAATATATTAAAAATGCATTAAAGAGATATTAATGTATTAAACATGTATTAAAGATGGTTTAATGTTTAAAATTTGTGTTAAAAAGTGATTAATGTATTAAACATGTATTAGAAAGAGATTAATGTATTGAACATGTATTAAAGATGGTTTAATGTATTAAATTTGATTCAAAAAGAGATTAATGTATTAAATATGTATTAAAAGAGATTATTGTATTAAACATGTATTAAAAATGGTTTAATGTATTAAATTTGTTTTAAAAAGAGATTAATGTATTAAATATGTATTTAAAAGTGATTAATGTATTAAACATGTATTAAAGACGGTTTAATATATTAAACATATATGATAGAGGGATTAATATATTAAACATTTATTAACGAGGAATTAATGTATTAAGCGTGCATTAAAGAGGGATTAATATATTAAACAAGCATTAAAGAGGGATTAACGTATTATACATGTATTAAAGAGGGATTAATATATTAAACATGTATTAAAGAGAGATAAACGTAAACATATATTAAACATGGATTAATATATTAAACATTGATTAACGAGAGATTAATATATTAAATATGTTTTAAAAGGGATTAAGTATGTATCAATGAGGGATTAATGTGTTAAACATCTATTAAAGTGTGATTTCAGCCCAAATGAGAAACTGTTTCTCTGCCTACGGCAGAAGAATTCTTAAGAGCCACTCAAGACAGAGGGTCATTAATTTTTTTGTGTGTGTGTTTGTTGTAAGGGGTGCATTGGGGTGGATCAAGATCTGCATATTATGTAGGATAGGTAATTTATGATCATAGACTTGAAAAGAGTAGTTGGTGAAACATCTCGGTAGACCGCTCCACTCGGCAACACATCAAACCCGTTTCGACGTGTATAACATCCACAGATCATCTTTCAGGTCCTTTTCACCCCTTTCTGTCCGCTATATTTTCAGATAGTGATGGCTTGTTCTGGAAAAAATTATTTCAATTCCTTGTAAATTTAATTAAAGTTAATTTCACAAAATACGGCTTCCGGCTACCTTCGGCTTTGTTCAGAAACTTCAATAGCCATGGACTATATATTTTTATATATATTCATCGAACCATAAAGATTGAAATTCATTATTCATTCAATATTCTGCATGATTATTTCTCGTGTTCGCCCCACAGAAGTTCCTTTGGAAATCCTGCGAACTAGCCTCTGGCAACAGATCTGCTGGCGCTCCCAGCTGCGCTACAAAGATGCCCGCAAGCATGATATGGAAGCTCTGGACATTAACACAGGGAACCGGGAAGATGCAGCTGATTACCGCAACAGATAGTGCAACGGGCTGCGAAAATAACTCAGGTTGGAAAATTCAAGAAAAAAGATATAGACTTTAAGATTTAGGGAAATCGAGCAAGATTAAATGGGGCCCCTGCGCAATTTTATATTTCAACCACAACCGACGCAAGTTAAAATTTCCTTAACACGATATGTCACTAGGGTTTTATCATCCGTAATTGCCATCGACTTTTTTTTTTTTCTACTACTGTTCCATTCAGTAAAAAAAAAAAATGGTTTGGATTTTTATTTTTTTTTACGGTATATCAACCTCAAACAATAATAGTTAATTTTTCAACATTTTTTATGAAATATTCGTACGAATAGAATATGTATTCTTTAGTTTAGATTGGTTTGGTTTATATTGTTTAACAAATATCAATGTTTATGGGTTATTTAATGCAGACAACATTTTTAGGATAGATTCGTTTGAATAGAATATGTATTCTTTGGTTTTTTCCTGGTTTAGTTTATTTTTTTTTTTACGGCATATCATCCTCAATGGGTTATTTAATGCCTTGACAACATTTTTAGGATAGATTCGTATGAATAGAATATTTATTCTTTGGTTTAAATTGGTTTATATTATTTTTTTTTTTACGGCATATCATCCTCAATGGGTTATTTAATGCCGAAAACATTTTTTTTTAATATTCGTATGAATAGAATATGTATTCTTTGGTTTAAATTGGTTTGTTTATTTTGTTTAACGGCATATCATCCTCAATGGGTTATTTAATGCAGACAACATTTTTAGGATAATTTCGTATGAATAGAATATGTATTCTTTGGTTTAGATTGGTTTGGTTTATTTTGTTTTAATATCATATCAAAAGTAATGGGTTATTTAATGCTGACAAATCTTTTTAAAAAAATTATATTTTTTGGCAAAAAATTTGTTTCTGGTAATATATTTCCTTCAAAAATTGTATTGCTGGTAATATTTTTTTTCAAAAAGTATTGCTGGTAATAGTTAACTATTTGCCCATAGCTGGGAGCCTAACAATGCTACCAGCCCGTGTCAGGGTGGACCTGGGAATACCAGCAATTAAAAAAAACAAATCTTCAAAATCTCCTGATCAGAGGCCTTGCTGCTGAACGTAGTTTAACGTCTTACCCAGGACGCGGATGTCAAATTATCGTCTTACCCAGGACGCAGATGTAGTTTAACGTCTTTTTAAGGACGCAGATGTTTTTTATCGTCTTACCCATCATACGCGGATGTATTTTTATCGTCTTATATTAGGACGATAAAAGTAATGAAAATTGTTTTTGAATTGAGCTTATTGCAATTAGTGTTACTCTCATATATAAATTTATAAAATATTTTTAATAAAATAGGTATTCAGTAAATTAGATTTCTCAAAGCCATTAACTGTTATAGCTTTTTCTTTTATATGATAGGAGTTTAATTGCAGGCGTTTTTGTTTTTGGCAATGTTAACTTTTAAAGATAACAGTTTCACTATCATTTTAGCAGTTCATGCTTCCTCTGAAACGACTGGTGTCATTTTTCTGCTTTTGATTACTTCTAAAATCTACTATTATTTTCATTCAGACACACATATTTATATATATATATATATATATATATATATATATATATATATATATTTAATTTCATATTTATATTTATATATATATATATTTAAAATTTAAATTCAAACTCAATATATTGCGAACTGCAGGCTTTTAAAACAATAACATTTTTTCTCATAGCATTTTTTCGGATTACAATACATCTATTTTCGTTGAGAAAAAAAAAAGAACAAAATCTATTCCATACCTGAGGATGTCTGTAGGAACAGACGAAAGCTTGTAAAAATAATAACTTATGCAAGTGAAAATTATAAGAAACAAGGATCTTTTCATTTATAAACAGGTTCAGGGTTTTTTTGTGATTATTTGAATTGTTCGCGATGATGGATTTCTCGCCAATTAAATCATTAACCTTTGTATTTGTTTTTTGTATGAATAATTCATGAATATATATATATATATATATATATATATATATATATATATATATATATATATATATATATACCTCTTATCTTAAATAACAACTCAAAGGAGACTGACCAACAAAAAAAAAAATAAAACCTACAGACAAAATTATTTTTGCCCATCAAGACAATCATTTCTGTAGTTCACTGTTACCAATTTCTTTTTCTCCTGATGATGGCGATGTTGGCCGAAACTAATCGAGTAATCTAACTGAAATAATAATAAAAACGAAAGAATATTTATATACAACCCAGTGTGTCTGAAGATTTTAATTTTTTTAATATTTTTTATTGTTCAATATCATACTTATTATAAAACCCAGGTTGTGTGTGTGTTTGTGTGTGTGTACGTTTATATATTGGATCGGATTTCCTACATCTTTCAACCGATTTCAACAAAACTTGATAGGACTACGTAAAATAACGTTGCAGTGGTTCTGACAGCGCCAAAAAAAGGAAAACACAATTGTTTTTGCACGAAATCAATTTGAAAACACGATTAAGAGGCATCGTTTTCGCGAAATGAAAGGGAGACAACTCATATCGAGTTATACTTATGATAAAACCTAGGTTGTGTGTGTGTGTGTGTGTGTGTGTGTGCGCGCGCGCGCGGGCGGTTATATATGGGATCGGATTTCCTACATTTTTCAACCGATTTCAACAAAACTTCACTTTTGGGGGGCAGGTAGTGTTCCTTATTGTCTTGCACACTTTTTTCTTTATTTTTACATTCAGAATGCTTTAAAAATTCCATTTACAAGACAATTGTTTATAATAAAATTCTATTCAATCGGTAGACTTATAACGATTGAAAACAATGTTTTTGTTTGAGTTTGGGTTTGACCAATTCGTAAAAAAAAAAAAAACTAATTAAGACATGCGTGTTCGTCAACCTTAAACAATAATCTTTGTCAATTTTATTTTTCAGTCTTTATGATGGTCGATACTTGATCTATCTCTTACTGTTACATCCCCGGGCAACACCGGGCTCTACTGCTTTTATATATATATATATATATATATATATATATATATATATATAGATAGATAGATAGATAGATAGATAGATAGATAGATAGCTTTGTAAACTATACTCGGATTATACCATTTGCAAATATAAATATATCGAAACAAATAGGTATCCGGGGAAAATGGAAAAAAAAAGAACTAGAATAATAAATTGATTGTACTTGCCTGATGTTAGCATCTCCAATTTGTAATTCGCATGTTGTTATCTCTCTTTTGCTGACAACCATGAATTCTGTCTTCTAAAAGCTGATGTTTAGTCCTTGCCTCTTGCTATCAGAATCAGATGAGTTGCGTGAATTTCGCACAATTTGCTTCATTATACTAATACTGTACCTGACCGACGAAGATTAATCTTGATCCATTCATGCTTATTATGAAAGTTATAGACGGATGTTTCGGCCAATTACACTTCTGTCATCTTCAGGTGTTCTTTATTTTTTCTGATACGTGATATCTTACACATATAATTATTGTTTTTTTTTGTTCCTGTAATACTGATTCTTCTTCGTTCTTTTTGTTATTGTTGAATCTGAATATATTATTTAACTACTACTGATAAAAATAATTGATGAACCAACTTCTATTAATTATTAATATTACATATTACTCATATTACAATTGGTGTCCTAATATTCTAGGTTTGTATCAGATTCAGTACACAAATTATTGTAGCCTTGTGCCAGACTCAGCTAAAATATGTTTAACGTCATAAATTTAAAAAAAATAAAATGATGAAAAACAGATTCTGATTTGTATGCTTTAGGCGAAAAAATAATGAAAAATTTTAAAAAGAAAGAAAGAATAAAAAGAAAAAGTGACAAAACAAAAAGAAAGACAGAAGAAAGAAAGAAAGAAAGAAAGAAAGAAAGAAAGAAAGAAAAAATGAATGAATAAATGAGGAGAATGTATAAGAAAGAAAGAAATACTTGAATGGTAAAGAAAAAATAAAGAAAGAAATACGAAAGCCGAGAGTGTGCATAAAGAAAGACCCAATGAAACAAGAAGAAAAGAAAAAAAAATACTTGAATATATACGAAAGAAAGAAATGAAAAATGACGGCAATGTATCAAAAGAAAGAAAGAAAGAAAGAAAGAAAGAAAGAAAGAAAGAAAGAAAGAAAGAAAGAAAGAAAGAAAGAAAGAATGAAAGAAAGAAAGAAAGACTCGAATCTAAAAGAATGAAAGAAAGAAAGAAAGAAAGAAAGAAAGAATACAAAAGCGGGATCTATAAGAAAGAAAGAAAGAAAGAAAGAAAGAAAGAAAGAAAGAAAGAAAGAGAAGAGAAGAAAGAAAGAAAGAAAGAAAAAAAAGAAAGCCGAGAGTGTGCATAAAGAAAGACCCAATGAAAAAAGAAGGAAAGAAAGAAAGAAAAATACTTGAATATACACGAAAGAAAGAAATGAATAAAGAAAGAAAGAAAGAAAGGAAGACATGAATTTATTCAAAGAAAGATAGAAAGAATAAAGGAATGAGAAAATTTACAAGAAAGAAATACTTAAATCTAGTAGAAAGAAAGAAAGAAAGAATGAAAGAAAAAAGGAAAGAAAGAAAGAAAGAAAGAAAGAAAGAAAGAAAGAATGAAAGAAAAATACTTGAATGTACACGAAAGAAAGAAAGAAGACGGCAATGTATCATAAGAAAGAAAGAAAGAAAGAAAGAAAGAAAGAAAAACTGGAATCTAGAAGAAAGAAAGAAAGAAAGAAAGAAAGAAAGAAAGAAAGAAAAATGAATGTGGCGAGAAAGGGCAAAAAAAGGAAGAACTGTTGTGAACGCAGAAGTGAAAAAAAGGTGAAAAGGGGTGAAAAGCAAAGTGTCTACTGATGAAAAAGTGTATACGTTCTGCGAAGTGCGTAACATCGGAACGGAGGGAAAGATCAACATTCCATTCAGCAGGTGGAGAACGAAATCTAAAACGAAAGCTAAATATATCAAGAATCAAAATGGTAGATAAATATATTGAAAAAAGACTAATGAGCAGAAGATTGAGAGAAGAAAAAAAGGAGAATTGGAGAAAGAGCAATTAATAGGCGAGTAAAGACGAGGAAAGGTTTAAAGGAGAGTAGAAACGGGGAGAAGTTTAAAGGAGAGTAAAGATGGGGAGAGCTTAAAGGAGAGTAAAGATGGGGAGAGCTTAAAGGAGAGTAAAGATGGGGAGAGCTTAAAGGAGAGTAATGACGGAAAGTAAAGGCTGATATACAGGACGTAAAAAAACGGGTTTATGGAAAGTAAGCAGATTTTCTCTTTGGGTAAGGTGTGATGAAGGGGGTGGGTAGCTATAACGGAAGTGCTTGGACACTCCTCAGCAAATTAGTTTTGAGAATTAGTGTTTTTGAAGATGCGAACCAGAAGAGTAGCACAAGAAGCGGGCGGGCATGATCTGCATGGAAATATTCAATTTTTGTGGACCGGGAAGTGACGGATTGGGTCGAGTATTCGTTTTGAAAAGAAAATCGCTAATTTGCTGTATGAGCAGTCGACGGAGAGAACGCGGCAGCGGTAACCGTTGAGCTTGCGGTGGTGTTAGTGGCTGAGGTGGAGAGAAAGTTGACTGGTAATGGCGGACAGTGAATTATTCGGTGAGGGGCAAACGCCACCCGTGATAAATGGATAGGTCCGCGTTCGCACGCCGTCAAACGGATATCAGTAAGCAATAACATACACGCCTGTCTGTGCTGAATAATACACACACACACACACTCACTCTCTCTCTTTCTTTCTCTCTCACATACACGCGCACACACACATATATATATATATATATATATATGTATATATATGCAGATATACATACGAGCACAAAATGAATATTCTAAGTTACCGAGAAACATACAGTTTCCAAAATAGATATGGTAAAGCGTATATGCAAATTCAGACACTGACAAACATACATTCACATAGGTTCATACATATATATATATATATATACAGAAATAGATAGATAGATAGATAGATAGATAGATAGATGTTATTTAAATTTTATTATATTGGGGTAGATGATTGTACCTAATCAACGATAGAGCGTATGTAGATATAATTAGCGTGGACACAGAAATCAACACTTAATGGTGACTGGCAATCCCAGACTTTAACTGATCATCAAACTCTGATAAATAAAAGTTGAATATGAAATATTTAACACTGGTTTCAAGGTCTCTCCACACTTTTATATCTATCGAGGCACACACATACACACACACGCACATATGCATATATATATATATATATATATATATATATATATATATATATATATATATATATATATATATATATGTTTATGTTTATATATATATATACAATAAAAAGAGGTAAAAACACCGTATATTATACTTCTGGGATTTTCTTATTTTATTGGCTTGCTCGCCAGCATTGAGCATTCGTCCGTTTATTTGTAAGGTAGTTTTTTTCCGGGCATTTAATATATATGCGTTTATATATATATATTTTCGTTGCATTTTCGTTACTTAAATTGTATAGATTTCTTGAATGCGCAGGCCGGTAGACGTATTACATACTATTTAATAAATAAATAAAAATAGTGCGTCTATTTCACGTAAGAAGTGTCGACAATGATAATGTTTTACGTAATAATAAGAATAATACTATTAATAATATATAAATATATATTTTAGTAAAAAAGAAAGAACATTAAGATAGTTAATTTATAATATATATATATATATATATATGTATATGCCATTACTGTTAATATATATATATATATATATATATATATATATATATATCATTACTACAAATAAAATATATCACATAGCTGACAGAACTTTTTATACTTGTTCGGTCCATCTCATTTTTCGAAATTTGTAAGCTTGGGCAGAATTATTTCATTAATACCCTTAAGATAGTTTTTTTTTTTTAGATTTATGTTATATACTTCAGATATGATCAGAATATGGCATATTAATCGACAAGATAATGTATAAGTTGTGAAACCAATGTATGTGATGTTTGAATTATTATTATTAGATGACCATTCTCTAAAGTAGTAAATTAAATCTATAAACATTAGTTTGTTGGTGTACTTTTTTCTGTATCGTTGATGGGAAACATATTCGAGGTTATTAAATCTTCTTTTTTTTTTTCTTTTTTTTTTTTGCTCTTTTAGCAATCATTGATGAGTTTTAATTCGTCTATTAGTTTTGTGTTCGTTTGGTGATATGTTATCTGTGTATTATTCTTAATGTGCCGTGCCGTCCAAGGCGAAGGCGATCATTGCTCTCCACAAATATCTGTCCTTTTTAGCTCTTAATAAATTTTGACTTTGTTTCGTCATCCATTTGCTCATTAAGTATGGGAACTAAAAGCAATGTTATTTTTTTTTATTCGCAATTTTTCAAAATGGGCGTTTATTCATCTTGAACTCTCCCGAGGTGTGTTGTTTTCTTTATTTATTTCCGTTTTTTCAAAAGAAGTTTCCGTGTTTTAAAAGGCAGTTTTGAATTCTGTGATTTCCCGTTTCGCCTCCACATACACACTGCTACCTCTGTTAGTCATTATTATTTATATTGTAGGCCATTTAACTGACTGTGACTTCTCTTTCATTTTTACTTCCCATATATATATTGATAACATGCTGTTATTATTATATCTTTCGTGTTTGAATAATAGCAAAAGATTTGCAGACCTTGCCTTAAATTATTTCCCAGTTACTCCATTGGAAACTTCTCCACTAGCTTTTCTTTTGATGTTAATTCCTGTATATATGATGTTTTCTCTCTGGAAGTTTTATTTCAACAATTATATATTTTGTTAATGCATTTATATTGTTAAATTGAATTTAATTATTTTTAATCTTATGTTATTTATATTAAATATTATGCTTAAAATCTATAATCTATTGTTATATTTGTTTCAAACAATCAGATTAAATAATGGAATAAACCATATTATTTTTCAATTTCTGTTTTTTTTATGCATTCTATATATATATATATATATATATATATATATATATATATATATATATATATATATATATATATATAGGTTCCTCCATTAGGTCACGTTAAAAAAGCAGCATATCACGATGAAAAAGGTCCATAAATCAACAAAAACAAAGTTTTGTCTCAATATGTTGTTATTAATATATTTATATATTCTAATTTCTTTGTGAATCAACTATTATTTTGAAGGTGTTGACTACATTTATATATAACAATTTTCTTAGCATATTTTAACAGGGTGTGTATAAAGACACTCTCTATTTAAAATTATTAATAGCATTATTAATTATCGATCGATTTTCATAAAACGTGTGTTATTTTAAACAGTATAATGGTAAAAAAATACAGCGTTAAAAATAGCTTTTACACATATTCTTTAAATTTGTATGTTGAGGGACGGCCGCTTTTGTGGATACCTACCTCAGATACCGTATTTATCAGCTTGAAGTGACAATTACTAGTGGTTTTGGCATGTACTGAAGCCAAAGGTCCATGATCACTGCAGCACCGTCCCTGCACTTGTTTCAGTCACTGAGTAAACGGAATGCTGGCTGAGGATGCACATGCAATGTCAGGTGTTCTGCTATTCTAGTTTACATTTGTCACTTTAAAATGAAAACAGAAATTTGCAATTAAATTTTACCACTTTAGGAATCACAATATTTGTTTCATGAAAGTATGGTGACATGAACAAAAGTTATTAATTATTTTCAACAAATTCTATCAAGGTATTTACTGTTTTCCCACTAAGACGAGTTGTGACAGAATTTTATTTTTAAGGTGGGCACCCGAGCGCGTACACCCAGGCATGGAACAAAAATTGCCCACAGCCCCTTCAACCGTGGGTTGCGCTGGCCTCGGTGCGAGCACAGATCACTCTCTCTGGTGCAATGAGAGAGCATGGCCTCGGGCAGCTTTTCCCTGGGCTGGGCACCTCTCAGTATAATTTTCCACAGTATCGACTTTGGGCTTTGATGGAGTCGCCCCTGTGTGCACTCTGCTCAAAAACAGAGCCGCAACTGAGAGATGATAAGTAGATGTGTTAGAAATGCCTCAGGAGAGGGATTTACGCACTAGGTATTTACTCTGTCTTCCCAATAAGTTGTGACACAAAGTCTTTTTTTTAAGGTGGGGCTCCGAGCGCGTACACCCGGGCAAGGAACAAAAATTACCCGCAGCCGCCCCCCCTCAATCGTGGGTTACGTTATCTTCGGTGCAAGCACAGAACCCTCTCTCTAATGCAATGAGAGGGCACGAACTCGGGCAGCTGCTGCCCAGAACTTGGCACCTCTCAGTATAATTTTCCTCAGTTGCGGCTCTGTCCTTTGATGGAGTCGCCCCTGGGTGCACTTTGCCTAAAAGACGGCGAATCAACTGAGAGATGATAAATAGATGTGTTACAAACTACTCGGAAGAGTAATTTACACACTTTTGCATAGTTTAGACGTGGCACACGACTGAGTGTGTGGCGCACCCAGTGAGGATCGAACTCACTTTTCAGTCGTAACTGTTTTAGCGAGACAAGCTTGCTAACCATTTGTGGCACCATGCATCCAGGCAGAGAAAGAAAGGCAGAAAGGGAAAGGAAAGAAAAGAAGAAAGGAAGGGAAAGAGTGAGGCGAGATCCGAATCATAGGTGATAAGCGAACAGCTGGCGCCGCGGCGAAGACGTCACAATTGGTGCTGTTTAGGGACGTCACAACTGGTGTCGTGACCGGGATAGGACCCTGGAACGGCCACGTCACAACTGGCGCCGTGGTAGATCAGGATAGAACGGCATAGTTGGCGCTGCGACCGGGGGACGACGTCACACATTACACCACGCTGAGGTCCCCCCACCCGCCAACAATTGATATCAAAATTGTTAACGAATAAGCCATAGCAGCTTGAAAC